CAAGTATGAACTATACCTCCGTGTCAGTGGGCCGTGGCCACTGGGGGTCGGCAGGACTCAGCGCTGTGTCCTGGGTCCTCTCCCACGTTTCTCCCGGTCCCAGCATCTCCTGTGGCTTCTCTGACGGGGCCCTCTGGCCTCTGCTTGACTGCACTTAGGTGAAGAGCCCAGGCTGATTCTTGGAAAAGCTTCGCCTTTGGCTAAATGCCCTCACCCCAGCCCCGGGTGTGTGTGTGTGTGTGTGTGTGTGTGTGTGTGTGTGTCACCAGCTCTTCTTTGTCCTTTCCACAGCCCACAGGATTCCTCCAGTTGTTTCCAAGGACAGTGGCTCCAGGCTTATCAGCTGTGCTTCTGGAATTCACTGTCACTGCAAGGCCTGCCCTGGTGACCGGTGGGTGGGTGGGCAGTTAGTGCAGCTGCGCTATCCCCTTGGGAATGCTCCCACCCTCTGCACCCCACAACCTGGTCGACCCCTCTTTCTCTTCAGATCAAAACTCAATACCTCACCTTCTCCGGGAGCTTCTCCACCGTGCCTGCCGGGCCAGGCTTCCCAGCCTCCTGTGCTTTATCACAGGCCAGATCCTGTGCTTACGGGATTATTTGATTAAAGTCTGTCTTCAGCTCCACAAGGGCAGGGACCATGTCTGTCTGACTCACACCGTCCCCACTGCCTGGCCAGCAACCTTGGCCCACACAGGGCTCCACTCCAAGGCCCCCAGTACCTGGAGCGAAGGGTTCCTATGTGAAGCTTGTGGACTTTCTCCAGCATGATCAGATCAGCAGTTTCCTCAAGGAAACATCCCCTTCTACTTACTTTTGACATGTTGGGTGACATACTGAGTCCAGGCACCATGGGAGATGTTGAACTTACTCACCAGTTAACTTCAAACACCACCAGTTACCCATCTTCCACAGATGGCAGTGAAGCCTGGCCCCAGGTCTTGGAGCTGGCACACAGCAGGGCAGGGCCCCAGCCTCGCTGCGCTAACTCGTCTCAGACTTGTCCTCTGTCCATTCTGCTAGTCGCATAGTGCCTGCCCCTTTCCCATGGTCCTCCCGCCCCCAGGAGCAGATTCCATCTGGACCCCTGTCCTCGAGGCTGAGCCCAGGGGATGGGCCCTCCGTGGGCAAGACCCGTGGCTGGTGACTGCTTCGTGGTCATCATTTTGCTTCGTTTTGGTTTGGGCTTGTTTGTTTATTCATCATTAGCTGCACCCAGCATCTGAATCCAGAGGGGAATCCTGTGGCCCAACTGTGAGTTTCAAAGCATCTGTCCCCATCAGCCTCAGGGTAATCAGCTGTCACTGGAATCGGGTGCCTCTGGCTGGCCCCTGTCCAGGGTCCTCCGGGATTGTCTTGAGAGCAGAGCTGCAACATGCTGAAGTGGAAGGTGCCAGCAGAGCACCTCGGGCAGATCTGAAGGTATCCTGAAGCTTTCAGTCAGATCCTTTTGAGGGAGTGAGAGAGACTGTTTTTTTCCTTCATCACTGCATGTATTTATGTAGAGAGGTGTGAATGCATTTAATCATGATATTAATAATACAGGTATTAATAGAAGAAAGCCCCCTGAAAGACTGAAGTTGGGCAACATTGACGTGGACTGTTCTAATCCTCCTCTTTCCATTGGTGACCAGTGAGAAGCCTTGGTTGTGTCTCTCAGTGTCTCCAGACACTGGCAGCCATACCTTGATTCAGGGCATGATCCACTCAATAAGCATTTGTTGGCCACCAAGTAAGTGCCAGATGTCACCCAGAGCCCCTGCCCTCACTGGGCTCACTCCTGCCTGGAGGAGGGAGGCAAGTGGAGTCCATAGGATGCAGTACGGTGCTGGCAACACTAGGGGGCAACACAGAGTACCCTGGTAGGGCCACATAGCCCACTGGGAGGTGAGGACAGATGGTGTCACCCGAGTGGAGTCCTGAAAACTTGGAGGAATTAGCGGCCTACCTGTGCCGTGAGTTACCATCGCTGGTGCTCTCTGTCCCTTTGTGTAGATCTGCACTTCCATCTTCTATCATTTTTCTTTTGCCCAAAGGACTTCCTTTTAATTTTCTTGTAGGATGGATTAGTTGTCTGAAATATCTTCATTTCACCTTTGTTTTTGGAAGATATTTTTGCTGGGCATAGAATTCTGGATGTGTTGAAGATGATGCTTCTTACTTGCAGCGTTTCCAACGTAATCTGATGCCTCATCTTTGTGTCTTCATATATGGCGTGTCTTTTTCTCTCCTTTGGCTGTTTTAAGATTTTTCTCCTTTTTATCAGTTTTGATAAAGTTTTCTTTGTTTCTTGTGCTTGATGCTCATTGGAAACTTGGATCTGTGGACTTTGAATTTTTGCTGAGTTTACAAATCTTTCTGCCATTATTTCTTCAAAAATTTTATGTCTTCTATCTCATCTTCAATTACACTTATCTTTTTCTCTGCAGTGTCTAATCTGACAGCTCACCTAATGTGTTTTAAACCCTGACATTGTGACTTTCATCTCTAGCAGCTTGATTTGGATCTTTTTCTATTTTTTATTTCTCTGTTTAACTTTTGGAAGACATGGAAATAAGATCTGATTTAATGCTCTTATCTGCTAATTCTCACTGTGTCATTTCAGGGTTAGTTTCCCCCCGCCCCCCAGTGCTGGGATCCACCCAAGGCTGGGTGCATGTTGGCAAGCTCTCTCATTGAGCCACCCCTGAGCCCCACAGGGTCAGTTGTGATGGATGGGTTTTCCTCCTCATTATGTGTGTGATATTTTCTTTTGTTGCATGTTCGATAATTTTTTATTAGATGCCAGGCATTGTGAATTTTATCTTTTGGGGTATCACATATTTTTGTATGAACATAAATATTTTTGAGCTTTTGTTCTGGGATGCAGTTAAATTACCTGGAAATAGTTTGATCCTTCCAAATCTTGCTTTTAAGATTTTAGAGGCAGTGGCAGAACAGGGCTTAGTCTAGGACTAATTATTCCTCGCCACTGAAGCAGGGCATTTCTGAGAACACTACCCAGAGCCCTGTGAATTGTGAGATTTTCCAGCCTGGCTGGTGAGAATAGGTTCAACCCTGTGTGAGGTCCGGGCACTGTTTGCCCTTGGTGTGGTCCTCCCCAGGCCTCAGGGAGTTATCACACTGCATATGCTGGTCACTATCTACTGAACACCCGGGACACCGTCTGTACACCTCCACAGTCTGTAGTGCTGCCTCCTCCCATCTGACAGTGTCCTCTGGACTTGTGCTGCCTCAGTTTCCCCAGGATCTTAGACAGAAGCTCTGTCTCCTTAATCCGGGAGCGGGGATGTCTGTCTGTTGGGCTCCCCCTGAGTTTTCTTCTGCCTTAGTCAGATCAGACTAATGACTAGCAAAAAAAAAACAGACTGGAGCCTAAACAACAGAAGTCTACTGCCCCACAGTCCTGAGGGCTGGAAGTCTTAGATCAGGGCATCAGCAAATTCTGCTTCTAGTGAGGGTGCGCTTCCTGGCTTTTTTGTGGGGGCTCTTTGTTAGTTTTAACTAAAAGCAGAATATCTGATGCTGGATACTTACTTACTTTATTTATTGGTGCTGGGGATTGAACCCAGGGCCTTGTGCATGGGAAACAAGCACTCTACCAACTGAGCTACATCCCCAGCCCTGGATACTTCAGTTTTAAAAGTTTATTTAGCTTACAGTTTTTGAAAGCTCCAAGTCCAGCGTTGGGCAGCCTCATCTGCTCAGCCTCTGGTGCCCACCCCACCAGCCCAGCTGATCACAGCACAGTGGAGAAGGGAAGGGAAACGCTGCCTGTAGAAGGGTCCAGGCGCGAGGGTGGCTTTGCTTTGTGGTAACTGGCGCTCTCAAACAGGCGCACTCGTGAGGCCAGCATCAGTTGCCCCCATGACCCAAACATCTCCCACGGGGCCCCACTCTCCCCTCAGTTCCCTCCCCTCAGCCACCACACTGGGGACTGAGCACCCAGCACGTGAGCCTGAGGGAGGCACCCTCAAACCCTGTCCCGACCACAGCGGCCGCCTTCCTGCTGTGTCCTCACGTGGCCTCTCGTCTGTGTGTGGAGAGAGCTGCGGCGTCTCCGATGAGGACTCCAGTCCTGGGACCTCATGGAACTGTAACTGCCTCTCTGGAGGCCCTGTCCCCAAATACAATCACATTGGGGGTTAGGGCTGCAGCAAAGTGTGGCTTTGGGGTCCACCGCACCCTCCCTGCACCCACAGTCTGGAAATGCCGAGGGCAGAAAGCCGTGCCAATCGCCGGACCGGCCCCATCTGCTCCCTGGTTTCAGAAGTCACTGTTGTCCTTGCTTATTGTCCTGGAAGACGCAGGTTCATGGGGTGCCTGGTTCTGCGCTGGTTTCAGGTGGGGGATTCTGTCCTGAGGCTGCTTCTGAAAGGAAATGGTCTCCAGGGGCTGAGCACGTGGCTCAGTGGTAGAGCGCTTGCTTAGCACGTGCAAGGGCCTGGGCTCCATCCCAGTGCTGCAAAACAACAGCAGCAAGTATCAGGCCTCGAGTGACCCTCTGTGTGTTTTGCTGCGTATCACTTTGTCCTTGATAGGTAGCACTTCATTACTGAAAGCAAAACCTTTTAAACTGTGACTGCAAAGATTGGCCAGGGGTTTGTAATTAGTTTTCACAGAACCAAGGGTTGGTAAAACCCCCAGATTTCAGAGGGTTTGGTGCCATGTCAGTCACAGCCCACAGCCCATGCTCACCCAGAGGCCGAGCACAGCCACACCCCACTGGTCCTGGGCGCCACATCACACGGATGCCTGATGATTGATTTCAGATTTCACAAATATAAACCATTCAGAGATGCAGCCCACGGGGGCAGCAGGAGATATATTCAAGGTGGCTTGACTTTTAATCAACACTGTGACAATATTATCTTGTTTAATTCGTGTGATGGTGATTTTAAACATCAAATCAAGCAATTTATTATGTCGAAAAAGATGAAGGAGCACGGGAATAAAATTCTCCTGACATCACTTCTGAGCATATTTCACTACTGTGACAGGCCATCATGATTGGAGACGACATCGTGGGTGACGTTGGCGGTGCCCAGCGGTGTGGAATGAGAGCGCTGCAGGTGCGGACTGGGAAGTTCAGGTCAGTGCCGCCCTTCTCCTAGACTCCGGGTGCCCGTGTTCTGCTCGGGTCTTATTTTCTAAAGCAGAGGCCTGTCTGTAACTGACCTCTGAGGACGGGTCTGGCTGACCTTTGTAGCAGAAATGGCTGTCTTTCTGTGCTTGCTGTGTGGTGGTAAGGCAGAGTGACTTTTGATACAGGGTCTGGGTTTGGAAACCATGTGAGAGGTGAGCGTGCTGAGATGAGCAGATGGAGGCCCTGCCCGTCCAGGGGCGGCCCACCAGGGAGTCAGGCTGAGCCTGCGCTGCTCTCAGCTGTGTGCTTGGAGACGTCACGGATGCAGACATCATGGTCGATGGCCTCCAGCCCCTCGGGCCCCTACATCTGTGAGATGTAGAGAACCTAGAATCAGTGACAGCTGTCAGGGAGGCTCTGGATGGAACCGCCCTCTCAAGAAGGAGCTCGAGTTCTGTTTGTTGGGTCCAAAGTCCAACAGTTCCAAGCAGGTCTCCAGGCACCAGGTGGGCATGCTGCCTGTGGGCACATGGGGCTGCCCTGTGGTGACGGGGCTCTGGCTTGCTTGGTCATTGAGAGAGTCTGTTCTCCATGGCTTTGATTGTGAAAGATTACCTTTTGCTGGAGACACTTGGTGAAAATGGTACCCAGGGCGCCTGGGTTTGGGGAGGGTTGGTCAGTTACCTCTGTCCTGGGTGATCTGCTGGGTCGGAAAGGATTCCAGGCCCGACTTTCCCCCTGAGGTCTCTCCTGGGTGAGGGGCCTGTGGTTTGGGGCCATAGGCAAACATGGGGTGAGGGAGGGAGCCTCAGTGTACCTGAGGTCTGGGGTCGGGAAATCCAGAACCTCCCAGCCACTGCCTGGACCCTCCCTGGGGAAAGTCCCCTTTGAAACCTCAACATGCCTGAAACATGAACCTTCTTTCTGCTCCAGGATCTCAGGGCCAGGGGGTTGGTCTCAGGGAGCCAGAGATCCTACTTGCCAGCGGCAGAGACTGGGCCTGGGCCTTCCTTCTCTGAGTCTGCTGCCGCTCTGCAGAATACCTGGGCTGCGGAACCCGCACAGGGGAGAAGTAATTCTCACAGCCCTGGAGGCTGGAAGTCCAGCCTGGCTCCAAGATGGCTCCTCCTGTGGTCACCCTTCCAGAGGAGGAACGTTGTCCTCACACGGTGCAAGAGAGGAGAGAACCCATCCTATAACAGCATTAACCTTCACGACCAAACACCCCACGGCCCGCCTCCTGACACTGGCGCAGGAGATTGCGTTTCTAGGCTGGATTTGGGGACACACTCAGACCATAGCAGCCCTTGCGGTGCCCCCTCCCTGAGAATTGCAGAGCCGGCCTTGCCGTGCTCCCAGGCACAGGCCTTGCTCGGTGCCCTCGGTGGGTGGTGGCACTGGGGCTCTGCTGCACGGTGCTGCCCTGTGGCAGCTGTAGGAGCCCCCAGCAGTGCTCCTGTGACAGCTGCTGATTGACAGCAGTGGCGTGGCCTAGCGTAAGGCGGAGCCTGGGGCTTGTGCGGTTTTGTGCTCAGGGTGTCTTCTGGTTGTTGGAGAAAACGTGTTGTCTTTCTTGCTGTGTCCTCAGCTGGGCTCTCTCTGGGTGGCCAGGTGCCCCTGTACTTGAGAGTGTGCTTACTGGGCAGGCCTCTGTGAGGCCCTGTGGGAGGCCACTCGGACACGGCACCACGAAGAGTGGACCCTTTGCAGAGTCTAGTTATGTACGTGGCATTTAAAGGAGGCATAAGTGGGGCTGGGGACATGGCTTAGTGGTCAGGTGCTCGCCCTGCATGTGTGAGGCCCTCGTTCCATCCCAGCACCACACACACACACACAGTGCGAGTGGCGGTGCCGGGTGGAGCTTGCTTCTACATTTTGCCAAACCCTTCCTGACCACCTTCTCTGTGCAGACGAACGTGCTACTAATATTTTGGTATTTTCTTTTTACAAAAGAAGGTGGGGGCATTATTTTGCAACCTGCTTTTTCTTGTACACTGATCTGCTGCGTCTTCCATGACCATCTTCTTTATTTAAACACCATGGACGTTGCTCCTGGGAATGCTCAGCTGGGAGTGCTCAGCAGGCGCTGGTGCTCGGCCGGGTGATTCCCATCTGCTCCCGCTATGGGTGGCGAGGGTGAGGCTTGGCCCCTGTTTGGGGGAGTTTGGAAGGACATCAGTCTTTCTTTGTTAGCCTACTGGGCGGACGTACTGCAGCCTTAATTCAGGCAGAGTGGGGATGGAGTCACCCCCAGGGAGGCCGCAGGAGCAGGACCAAGGGACGGAGATCCCTCAGCCATGGGTGACCCTCTGGAGCCCTGCTGCCCCATGCTGTGACCATGGCTGTAAGTGGTGACTGAGCGCTTGAAATGCTGCTGGTCCAGACTGGGATGTCCTGGATGGGGACTGCGGCAGGGCCTCAGGGACGGGGTGGGGCAGCACCGGGACCACACCTGTTGGGTTTCTGGGTTGACCCGGGTTGAAAAGTGCTGTTTGAGTCGACCTCACCTGGCCGCTGTACTTTTTGTTACACGGCTATTAGAAAGTGTTAGCTTGCCCCTGACTCTGCATTGGTGGCCTCATGGTAGGGGGTTTGTCCGTGTCCTTGCACCGCCCTCTTCTCCCTCCAGGGGGCACTCTTAGCGCATGGACAGACCCGCGGGACCTGGTGCTGCCCAGGCTGGACAGCCAGGTGGGCAATGTGCTCCATGGCCCTGAGCGGGCCACAAGCTGGGGGCCAGGTTGTGGCTGGGGGCCAGGTTGTGGCTGGGAGTCACAGGCTCCTTGGCACCTTGCTTGGTGCCCCTGCAATGTGGCTGCAATGTGTCACCCAGGGAAACCCCTGGGCAGGAGATGAGTCCGGGCTCTGTGCATAAGAGTTCACGTGTGTTGAAGGGACAGGCCACCCCTCTGCTGTTGACCACTCTGGAGCCCAGCTGCTTGATGTCATAACCAGCTGGCGCCCATGTGTGGCCTCTGGAGTCTGACAGGGACCCTGGGACCTGGGCCAGAGCCCCTTCCCTCTGTGGAAATGCCACATTCCCCCCTCCTTGGCAGCATCCAGCTTGTCCTTCCAGGCCCACACCCCTCTGGCCACATCTTAGTGGGCAGTGCATGGTCTGCACGGTCCCTGTCTCCACCAGCTGTGACCCTCCGTGGCAGGGGCTGTGTCCTGCCCGTGACTGAGGTGTGTCCTTGCCCCTGTGCCAGGTCTCTCTCACACATGGCCCTGAAGGCCTCCCCAGAGCCAAGGGCCCACAGAGAGGCATTGAAAGGCCTCTCTGGCCCTGTCCTCTGTTGGTGGCCAACTGGGGAAAGCGGGATCGGAGGGAGGGATGGCCTTATCATGCGCAGTGGCAGAGCCCGCAGTGAGTGACCTCACACTCCTGCCTGGTGTGGGGCCAGGACAGGACGGGGAGACTGAGCAGGGCAGGGCTGGAGTCACTGGCACCACAAGGGGAGGTGCTGACCTGCTGGGCCCTGCCTGATGTCCCTTCAGCCCCTCTGGTTGTGCACACAGTAGTTCCCGAGGCAGCTTGTCGGCGGTCTGGGCCTGGGCCTGCTCGGTGGCTGAGAGCAGGTTCCCTGTCACCTTCTACCTGTGCACACCCTCTGTCCTTCCTGCCTTTGTCCCGGCATGGCCCAAGGAACAGGGAAGCCCCGGAGCCAGGGGCGGTCACGGGGTGGCCCAGGTTTCACAGAGCCCGCCCACAGTGCCTGGCAGGAGGACCCGGGAGCTTTGCCGGGGCAGAGCGGAAGAGGCTCCCCATGGGCGGCCTGCACCCCTCTCCCACCCAGCAGCACTGCCCTGAGCCAGGGCAGAGAGCAGAGCCTTCTCTTCAGACCTGCTCTGTTTGGAAGTCCAGCCCAGCCACCAAGGTGTGGCCCTCCCCAGTCGGCAGCTAAAGGCCTGGGTGTCTCCCCGCCTGCCCTGTTCCTCACAAGTCTGGCACCCAGGGCACCCCGGCCGGGCCCCAGATCACAGTGTTTACACCATGGGGCCCCCAGGCCTGCTGGCGCGAATCCTCCTACAGACCCTGGGTGCTGGCTGCCATCTGCCAGGGACTTTGAGATGACACCACTGAGACCTGCCCAAGGCCACCCGGTGAGGAGTGACGGACTGGGCGGGTTTTGACCGCTGCTTTCCCGTGTGAAGCACCCTGCTCTTGTCACATCTGCAGCAGAGCCACAGAGACTGTTTGCCCCAGCCTGGCTGCAGGGCCAGGCAGGGCCCTGGGGGTAAAGGGCCAGGCCTCGCCTGCTGCTCACCAGCCCTGGGCATTGTTTCTGGCCTTCCTGGAGAGAGGCCAGCCTCCTCTGCCTCTCTTTCCTGGGTCCTGGGCCCTCCATTCTAGCAAATTCAAGGAAGGGACACCCTGCCCATTGAGAGGCGCCCTCTCTGTCCCCAGAGGGGAGGGACAGTGTCAACACATCACAGACCCTCCCTACCTCATTATATCCCTACCTTACCCCTTCTCTTGGGGTACCTGGGGTACCTGGCTTCTGGCCACTCTAGTCCCCTGCCCACACCCCACCCACAACCAGCATCCTGTTTCCTGAGCACAAATCAATGTCTTCACTGCCTTTTCCAGCCATTAGCTGCTGGGAAAAAGACCGGCACAGGGCTCACGCCAGCGCTTTCCTAACCAACCGCCCAAGGTCAGACGATGTTCCACGGGCCCAGAATGTTCTTTGCCCTCTGGACTGCAGAGGGGAAGTTTCCTGGCCAGTATTCCCGGAATCTTACAAGGGCCCTTCTTGCTGGGGCTCAGGAACTGGGCTCCGCTGCACCAGAACCCAGCTGGGCCCTGGGTACCGGAGGGCTTTCCACGCAGCAGGGTCCCAGCCGACCTGGGACCCCAGCCCCCTCCAGGGGCGGGGGGCTGGCTGATGGGAACAACAGGCCATGTGACGACAGACCTGGAGTGGGGCAAGAAGGAGAGCGCTCCAGAGCTGGCCAGCGGCCCGTGCAGACAGCTTCTGCCAAGCACAGCCCCTCGCCTGGGT